TACTGGTTTATATAGTTATATAAACAATACTACTAACTAGCTATACTATTGATTAATATAGTGTTGCTACTGGTTTATATAGTTATATAAACAATACTACTAACTAGCTATACTATTGATTAATATAGTGTTGCTACTGGTTTATATAGTTATATAAACAATACTACTAAATAGCTATACTGTTGATTAATATAGTGTTGCTACTGGTTTATATAGTTATATAAACAATACTAGTAACTAGCTATACTGTTGATTAATATAGTGTTACTACTGGTTTATATGGTTATATAAACAATACTACTAACTATCTATAGTATTGATTAATATAGTGTTGCTACTGGTTTATATAGTTATATAAACAATACTACTAACTAGCTATACTATTGATTGATATAGCTGGATGTGGTAAATAATTTCACGGTACCATCTATGATATTGGTTTAAGTAGCTGTGTAAAATACGTAAATTTGTTATAGAACTAACTATATAAACAATATCAATGTAACCTTGAGGGGTCATATATAAACAATATCAATTTAACCTTGAGGAGTCATATATAAACAATATCATTGTAACCTTGAGGGGTCATATATAAACAATATCAATGTAACCTTGAGGGGTCATATATATAAACAATATCAATGTAACCTTGAGAGGTCATATATAAACAATATCAATGTAACCTTGAGGGGTCATATATAAACAATATCAATGTAACCTTGAGGGGTCATATATAAACAATATCAATGTAACCTTGAGGGATCATGTATAAACAATATCAATGTAACCTTGAGGGGTCATATATAAACAATATCAATGTAACCTTGAGGGGTCAGCGATGTCATACAAAACCACATGCACTCTTTGATGTTGAAGTCTCGCTTTTCGTCATCGTCTTTATATTTCTCCGCGTTGTTGTGAAAGCTGTACGGACTCAGTCTGTCAAACAGGTACATTAGTAAACTGGAAGGAAGAGAATGAAATAACTTTTAGACAGAAAACTGAGTATAAAACGGTCACAGTATATGAACCTCATGCACACACACACACAAACATGGGATATGTATAAGATAAAGAAATTAACCTTGATCAATCTAACATAAGATTATAAAGAAATTCGAGAAACCTAATAGAAAACGACCTCTAGCGACAGTCTGTCTTCGTTTTAGTTCCACTTATAATATAGGGATTACGGCCGAAAATGTCGATAACAGCAATGTGTATATAATAAAGAAATTAACCTAGACCAATCTAACATAAGATTATAAAGAAATTCGAGAAACCTAATAGAGTCGAGCGCCACCTAACCACCTGGCCATGCCGGGGCCAAAAAAATAAGTAATTTACTCTTAAAAAAACTATTAATTGACAGCAACGGAGTAAAAATAAGATTTAAATAACTTTTACTCCACCTTGTGAAAAAATAGGCAGCCAAAATACAACCCCATACGTTCGTTTCCAATACAGTCAAGAACTTGAAGAGCGATGATGGAACTTGCGGCTTTTTCATTAGGATGGAGATCCCCACAAGATCGTAATAAGGCACAGTGAAGTCGACTACTGTCTCTCTTTCAGCCATGACAGACAGGGGAGCCAAAGCAATGTCCGCTTTCTATAGCAAAGAGGACGGATTGTAAACTCCAATCCGGATAAATGTAAATATTACAGAATATAAATTCTGGAACTTTTCAAGGTACATTTTTCTGTATACTTAGCAATTTTGTTTGGAAATCTCTTAAGCAAACGTAAACGTATTTTTGAAAACCTTCATCTTTAATATCTGTTGAAAGTCGCAAATCTTAATATTAATTAAATAACTAAACATATTTTTAATTGAGGAGAAAAAAAGACTGACTGAAGTTACATTTAAAACTTTAAACTGTCGATTCCACTATAGAAAGAGTAAGAATATTTTAAATGATAATTTATCTTGCTCGTTACATCACAGTGGATAAACGCAGTGGATAAACATGCCAGATGAAAGTCCTTAGTTACGTATGGATTGATATATATATGTACCTGATCTATTAACTGCTTAATCATTCCGTTCCACTCGTTCTTTTCGTTCATGGCCCCAAACATTTTGTCTGGAGCTTCGGTAATGTTGTAATCGAAGTTCAGTATTTCCTTGATTTCGTCAATCAGATCGATACAATATCCATAGTATTTAGGAGGTCTTCCGTCAGCGTATTCTTCTTTCATCACAAAAGGGGGTTGCTGGAAAGTAAAATGGAACACAAATGAAAGTAATAGTGATTATTTGGTAGTATATTAATACCAGAGGGCGCTCCATACGATATCTAGACTAAACGGCCAGATCAGTGGCTTTAAGCCTCAGACATAGCCATCCATATTTAAGTTAGAATTGCTGATCAGAGGTAAGCCAACCACTTACCGACATATCGTTGTTCAAACCTTGGACTTTCCCA